CAGCCCCCCCCCCCATTCCCCCAGCCCCGCCACGGGTGCCCCGCATGGGCCAGTTCCAGCCCTTTAAGAAGGAAAAAAAAACCCTAAAATCCCCAGGACTCACCGCTCCTGCCAGTGGGGGACAATCCTTGTTACCCCCCACTGCCCTATGCCACATGGGGGGCTCTGCACAAGCCCCCTAAGCCCCACAGCTGCTGCAGGAGCAGTGAGTCCCCAGGGCTTTTCTTGGCTTGTTTTTCTTTTTTTTTTCTTGAAGGGCTGAATCTGGCCCGGGGGGGTCACTGATGGGGGAACTGGGAACTCATGGCAGAGCTCTCCATGCAGTGTGGGGGCAGTGGGGGACAGCAGGGATTGCCCCCCCACCTGGCAGCATCCAGTGAGCACCAGGGCTTTTCTTTAGAGTACGGAGTTGAAGTGGGGAGGGGCAGCCAAGTGGCCCCCTCCCCTGCCCCTAGTACTTACTAACTCAGAGTCAGCTGCAGCTCCCTGCTGCACCCGCTGGGGACTGCCCAAATCATCAAAGCTCTCCGAATCTTTGGAAAAGATTCGGACAGCTTTGAATCGATTCAGACCTTTAAATTGGTCCCCTGATTCAATTCGGATTTGGAGATTCAGCCACCAAAAGGGGCCAAATGTCCTCTGAACTGAATCACCACCTGAAGCTTCGCACAGCCCTACTGGTCAGCCTAATTTTCATTCCTGGAAAGATTCATGAACAAATGATTAAACAATACAACATCCACAAGACGACAAATTAATTGAAAAAAAAAATAGGCAACATGGGTGTATCAAGAACAGGTCATGTCAAACCAAGTACTTTCCTCCTTTGACAGGGTAACTGAGTTTGAGGATCAGGAGGTGTGTCTTCAGTTTACTAAGGCTTTTGACGTTATCCGCTATAAAATTCTTATGAGCCTGATATAACCACTCATCTCCGAGTGAGGTACAACTGGTTGAGTACCAGCAGCACCCAGTGAGCACCAGGCCTTTCCTTTAAAGTACCGAGCTGGAGCGGGGAAGGGCTGGGGGAGTGGGTGGGGTTCGGGGGGTGGCAGGGGTCCCCTCTTTTCCAAAGATTCAGAGAGCTTTGAATTGATTCAGACCTTTAAATTGGTCCCCTGATTCAATTCAGATTCGGCCACTGAATAGGGCTGGATCTCCTCTGAATCGAATCACCACCCAAAGCTTCACACAGCCCTAGTCTACAGTATGCATGGTATCAAAGCGTATTTGTATTATAATGATATACTGTTTGAGAAGACGAACACTACACAGAACTCACTGCAAAATGGTTCTTTACATTTGTCTCCAGACTAAGTATTTTTGAAAAGTGATAAATGAGGAAGTAAATAGGATAAGTAAATACCTGTGTTTGTGTATTTCCACCTTCAAGCAATGCAATGCCAAGCGAAATGCCTTCTGAGAAAATTCTGTCATTTTTGGTATTTACTATAACATCTATAACCAGTTCTGATGCACCCTCTTTGTCCAGAAGGCACTGAATATCAGACATCAATACCCCAGACTTATCTGAATCTTGTCCTGAAAATCCAGCTATAAGTAAGATAAATAAATGTCATGCATATTCGTATGGTATGTCTGTGTTTGTATATTAAAATAAGTCATTTATTTAGTGGATATCAATTTCTGAAATGTTTGGTTTTCAGTAGCAATAGCCACTCCAATCCTGAAATTCTTACCCAGGCAAAGCTCCCACCAATTCAAATAACAATTTTGCATGAATAAGGTTGAGTTCCAGGAACAAAAAAAAAATAAGCAAGCAAGAAATCACACAAGATCCAAACCACTGTTCTGTTAGAGAGGTTCTGACAATAAAGAAAATGAAGCCTAAGTGACTTGTTCTTTTTCTTACTCTATTGTTGCATAACTTAAATGTAACCTACAAAAGGTTTTGTAGGCAGAAATCAGCCTTGCTTCCTCTTTTACATTTTTATGTATTAATAAAAAGGGGCAAAATATTTTTCTGGTATTTTTTGAGTGGTATTATCTAAAACCTAGCCTATACCCTGATTTTGAACTGCAAATCTGTTTCAGAGAGGGGTGGGATCTTTTACTGAAATACTTGCATTCAAACAAGCCCTAGTCTGTTTATAATTGTACAGTCTTCCTAGGGCTTGTTGTCATGGGGATGCTCAGTTAAATTAATCTGAATTAACTCAAAGTATGAATTTAAAGTAGATTTGATTAATACCAGGGGTGCCCAACCTAGCCAGCCTTGTGGGCAGGGATGGCACCAGCCTCTTCCCAGTGTAGGGGCTGAAATGGGCTAAACAAAGTTGTAGGGGTTGTGCAGACAAAGGTGGGAAACGGGTCCCATGGGCTGAGCCAACCAGGGAACGCTGCAGGCTCAGCTGTGCAGGGTGGGCACCAGTGGTCTGGTGGGGGGAGGCAGGGGACTTGAACAGGGATGGTGTTGGAAGGGGTGCTTATGGGGGGGTGCAAAGTAATTCTGGGCTGGCTCCCCCCTAGCACCGCCCCTGCTTATGGGTCAAGTAAGTGGCACAGGGCCAGTCCATGGGCTGGATCCTGCACATGTGGATGGTTCATGGGTGCAATCCTGTGTGCCAACTTGGCCTCACATGCCTGGATCCTGCCAGGGACTGAACCCATGTGAACCAGCTGAATGCTGGCATGATCTAGCACATAGGGCCACCTCATCTTGACCCATGGGGCTCCCCGCAGGTCTGGAAATTTGGCAACAGGGCAGCAGCAATTAACACTGCTACCACTCCCCCACTGCCAAATTTCCAGACCTGTGGGGATATGGGCTGAAACTGGCCCACAGGACAGAGGTTGAACACAACTGATTTATACTGACATGCATTTCCTTCCCCTCATGGGTTGGAAAGAAGATCTAATTGTATAAGCACTTTTATACAGGTACAACTACATCATAATGGAGGGGAGGGAAGGAAGCAGTTGCATTACTTTAGCTCCACTGGCATAGTTAAAACAGTAGAGCTTGTGTGTGTGGACAAGAGCACAGAAGCATTGGGAAGGTCTGTCCTCTTTAGTTTGCTGGAGTGCTTCTTGGTCTTGTCTGCAAGATTTCAGATACAAATACCTGTAGTCAGGCAGAGGAAGTGACAAATGGAGGTGGGGAAGAGGAATGAATGTAGCTGGTAAAAAGTGGAAAGGTTATCTGTGGAGTCAGATGTTAGGCATGTTATAAATTCCCTTTGAGGATTAGAACTGAGAGGCTGGAGAGAGAGTGCTTTTCTTGTGAGAAATGTATCCCCACAGGTAACTGGGTATTTTTGTCTTTGATAGGTTTTCGGTATGCGTTCATGCTGGTACACAGTTGTTGTTTGGTTTCTCCTACATATTTTCTATTGTGACACATTTAGTACACTGGATGAGATGCATTACATTTCTGGAAGTGCAGGTGTAAGATCCAGGAATGCTGATGGTTTTGTTG